GAAAATTAGTACAAAAGAAAGGAATTATCAAGAGAAGGGGAAAAAGGCCCTGGAGACATTGCAGAAGCCTCTGGGGCCAACCCTTCCATTTCAGGCTCAAAGACCTAGGGAGACAGAATGGTCTTGGGGAACAGGCCTGAGATACCCTCCACAGGCTCACTGCTCAGGGCCACCCCGGGAAGCTGCTTCCAGCACCAGCACCCCAGCAGTGTTGGCTGCTTCAGCTGTGGCTAAATTGGTCCCAGGTGGGGCTGGACCTGCAGCTTTAGAAGATAAAAGCCAGAAGCCTTGGCGGTGGCATCCACATAGTATTAGGTCTGTTGGCTCACAGAATGCCAGAGCTCTGAAGGCTTGGGAGCCTCCACCCAGATTTCAAAGGATGTATGGAAAAGCCTGGAGACCCAAGAAGAGATTGGCCACAGGGATGGAGTCACTACAGACAGACTTCACTGGAGCAATGCCAAGCAGAAACATGGGGTCAGAGTTGCAGCAGAGAAACCCCAACAATGCCATGTCTAGTGGAGCAATGAGAGAGGGACTGCCATGGAGACCCCAGAATTGTGGAGCTACCAGAGTAGAACACCAGCCTGGAAGAGCTGAAGCCTCAATTGAGACTGGGAAAGCCATAGAAGTGGAGCTGCCTGGACTTGGGGACCCAACCCCAACATTAGCATACAGAGGATGACGGATGTGGAGTCAAATACCTGATTCACCAGCTTTGAAATGTAACGCCCGCCCTGCTGGATTTTGGACCTATTACCCCTTTCTTTTGGCCTATTTCTTCTTTATGGAATGGGAATATGTACCCCATGCTTGTACCATTATTGTATCTTGGAAGTAGGTAACTTATATTGATTTCACAGATGGGACTTTGAACTTTGGACTTTTGAGTTGAAACAAGTTAAGACTTTAGGGATGAAATGAATATATTTGTATGTGAAAAGGACATGAGTTTTGGGAGGCCAGGGGCAGAATATAGTGGATTGAATGTCTCCCCAAACTCCCTGAAGCTTGAATTGCATCCCCCAAGTTTTATGTACTAGAAACTTAGTCCTCACTGTGACTGTTAAGAGGGTGGGAAATCCTATTATGATAGATGAAAGGTGGAGTCTTGAAGAAGTGATTGGCCTGTAGACTATGCAGTAGTGAACGGATTAGAAATGGTGGTCAAGGGTGCAGTTCTGAGGGCTTTAAAAGAAGTGGAGAGTCTCTCTCTCTGTGTTCATCATCTTGCAATGTGAGACCCCTGGGAAACTGTCTCCACCACCAGATGGGGCTTTGGACTTCCCAGCCTCAGAAACTGTAAGCAATAAATTTTGTTTTCTTTATAAATCACCCAGTTTCAAGTATTTTGTTATAAGCAACAGAACCAGGCTAATACATTGACAGAGGTGATATTTGGGCAAAGTGGGACCATACAGGTTGGAGAGTGGTATAAAGGAAAGTGACATGGGGAAACAGCTAACAACTGTGGATGAGGTTTCTTGACTTTGAGAGCATCATAATTAGCTTCTGTTAATTTACTCTTTCACTAAACATTTATCTAAAACACAATATATATAAAATATTGTTCTGAATACTGTGGGGATACAAAAATGAATAAAGCTGTCTTTAGCCTTTTGGAGCTTAAGATATTTTAAGAGATAATACATGTACATAAAAAGTACAATACAGAGTAAAGTATCAGAAGTGTTAGAGCAGGAACAAAATATTCCAAGAGGTTTGGATGCCGAGTAATTTTGTCTGGGATAATAAAAAAAGTATTGTCAGCAGAGGTGACATTTGAGCTTTATCTTGTAGCGTGAAGAGAACATTATGACTAAAGGGGAGGAAGTGTTCAGGTAATAGTAAAGTCCGCTGTTATAAAGCACAGAGTACAAGCAAAGGAAAAATTCTATTGGCTGCTGGCAGATTGTAAAGGGCATTAAGTGCTATAGCGACATGGACTTAAGCTCTGTTTTTCAGTCAAGGAGGAAATCAGTGAAGATTATAGAGCATGGGAATAAATTTATCAAGTAGCATTATAATCTGACCACAATTTACTAAGTGAATATAGTAGAGGGGTTGACGGTGAGGAGAGTGGTGGGAGTAGAAGAGTTAATAACAATTGAATGTTAATAGTAGTGAATGATTATTCCAGGAAGTTTCATAGGCACTGCAGGCTATGACCTATTAGAGTGTGAAATTAGCTTAGTTGGTTGGGGTAAGCAGTTTTTAAAAAGTGGAACAGAAAATATTACATTTCATTGCATTTAATAAGGGTAAGTATTGCTTTATGAAACTTTGTTTCAATTTTTATTATGTATGTATTTTGTTGTATATGTACAGAGCTGTGATGTAAAATATATTTCTTACTGTGACTTATGGTCAAATAAAAGAAACTACTAGACGGTGGTTTTCATAAAATCCTGTCTTCACAGTAATGTTAATGTTTCTCTAGACTATACTCTAATTTAGGCAGGAGCATGAGAGAAATTCTCTGTTGGGGAGATCAGTCTGTATTTAAAATAGCCACTGACTGAGCCAGCATCAGCCATTTATTCTGCTATTTCTTTTAGAAACATGATAGTGAATATTCAGTTTGATCAGTAAACTAGTTTTTGAATGCTCAATGTCATAAATTTGAGGCGTCACTCATATTTCTAAAAATGATCAAATGACTTTAAAATAGTGATTCTCAACAGGGGGCAATTTTATCCCATAGGAGACATTTGCCAATGTCTGGAGATATTTTTGGTTATCATATTTTTGGGAAGGGGTATGCTGCATGCATCTAGTGGGATGCTGCTAAATATTCTGCAAGACAGGGCAGCCCCCTTACAGCAAAGAATTGTCCAGATAAAAATGTCAAAATATCAACAGTGCCAAGGTTTAGAACCCTGCTTCAGAATGACCCAAACTAGTTATTTAAAAGAAATGTAACAAAAAAAGAAAGAAAACAAAGAACGACACAAAACCAAAACTGAAACCAAACCAAACCAAACAAAAAATAAAAGAAATGTAATTCTTAACAACAGTTGAGAGATTTATGCTATTGGACTAACACAAACTCAGTGAAATTGTTTGTAGAATGCTCTGATCACCAGTTTTATTTGATTTAAAATGATGTATATATCAATATTTGCTTATATGTGACCCACAATGAAATGCTGCATGAAACAGTTTAGAAATACAAAGTTTACAACTCTAAGACCATTTCCTGAATCATAGCATTAAATGTCAGAATTATATCTTACCACCATAAAATAGAATAATTTATATGCCTATGTATATTTATATATGAAGAAGCAACTTTATAATGAAGTGAGTTCAGAGATTGGCAGCCAGCTACCTAAGTGAATCCCATCATTTAAAATTCTCATTTTAAGACTGCCCTAATTTAAAGCAGATTCAATAGCACTTACTGAAAATTTTACAGATCTGATGATTCAATAAATGTAGACAGTCATAAGGGTATTTTATAAGGAAAGGAGAATGTGAAATTGGTACCTAGGTTCCAGGCCCATTGGTGATGTAAAATATCTATAGCTCAATCAAGTTATTTATGTTTACTGGTTTCAGTTCTCTTAGTCATAAGTGAGTTGGCCTGTATGTCTGTGTAATCTCTCCTAAATTAATTTCTATGAGTCTAAATTATGGATCAATTTCTTTTTGTGAATGAATTACAAATCTCTTTCAGATTATTTTAGGATTATTTTCATGCCTTCTCAATAGTTCCAATGGTTTGACTTATATTTGGACTACACGAGTAAATGTCTATCCAGCCCACACACCCTGATGTGTCCTGGGCCTTGCCAAGCAGAGTAACAGCTTTCAAAAAGGCTTCATTTAATTGCGTTATGGAATACATGAGTCTCACTCTCCTAATGACTTCGTGAGATACTTTACTTAGGGACTATATTTTCTCTTTCAGACCACCTTGTTCATGTGCTCTATGTTACAGGGGCTCAACATTTATATGTATTTAAAAATGTTTTTTTAAAAACTGGGGTTTCATGGTTGCAGTAGTCAAGCTACTGCCAAAAGCCTCAGGGGCTAATTGGCTGTAGCAACAGAAGAAAATAAAGTTTCTTTTTAAGGAGAAAGACAGTGCTCTTTGATTCTTCAAGGTAGTAAATTCTCAATTTTTTTCTGCGGGTATTTAACCTTACAATAATAATGTACAAAATTGCTCTCTGGTGGGCAAAATATGTAACTACATCTATAAAATGTCAAGTTTGTGTGCCCTTGTGCTGGGGCTGCTCATGAAATTACCATCATCTCCCCCAAAATTTTTGTGACAAAAATACATTTTTGATTAATTAATTACTATATATATCAGACATTCTCTGTATATATTTGTAAGGTGGGGATAACTGTATGTGTATGTGTGTGTTAAAAAATCGACCAAAAAATTAGAAAGATTTCACAACTAAAAAAGTTTAGAGGAGCTCTGGCTTGATTTATCACGACTTTGTTTCTTACATATAACTTTCTTCGAGTGTCCCTCAAATGGGTTTAGAAATAGCCAATTTATTTTTTATTGTGTGGAAAACTCTTTGTAAGATCTGGAAGAATAATGAAAAATAAATAAAAATATTTGTGAGCTGTGGAGAAATGTTAGGGAATTGCAAAAGGGTTTCATAAACTCTTTGAGAGTTCAAAAACTTTCTCACTTAAGGGGAAACCCCTGACAAAGGCACTCAAAATCTTACAAACTGTCTTCAAAAATTTGTATTACATCTCATACTCCAACTTTTGTGATTTCAAGAGCTGAGTAGCTCGCTGTATTTTGCAAACCAGGCTAAACTGACCCATTTCTTTACAAATAAAAATCCCTTATAAATTGGCTATGGATTATTGATTGATTAAGGTGATTCTAAAATAAATCATGTTATGTGTCTTGTGTTGCCAGGTCCAGTGATTTAATCTCACTTCACTGTACAACACCCACCAAATATTTGGATTCTCATGCCTGTATGACCTGCATACAGCTCTCATTTTTTAACGTTTATGGTGAATCAGAGGCCTGTTTTTGAAGCAATCCAGTTTCGGTAATAAGTGACTTGTGTATACACTCCAGGTTTGTTCTTTTGACCACAGTTATCTCCCCAGCTCACTATTCCAATAAGATACCAGGTATCTTTAAGATCCTTTGCAACTAAAGGTCCCCCAGAATCACCCTGAAAATAAAAAAAAGAAAAGAGAAAGAAAATCAGCTGAACATAAAGGTTATTGTTTAAGATATTTTGATGAACCAAATATTTTATTACTAGACAGTATATGCATAGATTACCAATATAGAATAATTAATTGAAACATAGATTTCAAAATTATAAAGAGCCTTAAGATTCGAATCTCCACATTTTAATTAATTAATTATTTTTTTATTTTTTAATTGAAGAGTAATTGAGTATACATATTCATGGGGTACAAAGTTGACTATCAGTATTTGTATGCAGTATGTGGTGGTCAAATTAGTATTATTAGCATATTCATTATTATAATTCATAATTATTCTTTATTCCCATCACCCAATTTCTCCCTAACCTTCTCCCCCTCCCCTCTTTCCACCTCTAGTAACCATAGCTCTGTTCTCTCCTTCTGAAAGTTCATTGTATTGTGGTTTCTCTCTCTCTCTCTCTCTCTCTCTCTCTCTCTCTCCCCCCGCTTCCCCCCTCCCTCCCTTCCATTCCATTCCATTCCTTTCTATTCCATTCACTTCCTTCTTAGTTCCCACTTATGAGTGAGAACATGTGCTATTTCTTTTCTTGGACTTAGCTTATTTCATTTAACATAATTTTCTCCAAGCTCATCCATGTTACTGTGAATGGCAGAATTTCATTCTTTTTTATGGCTGAGTAGTATTCCATTGTGTATATATACCACATTTTCCTTATCTAGTCATCCATCAATGGACATATAAGTTGGTTTCATATCTTGGCTATTGTAAATAGAGCTGCAATGGACATGAGAGTACAGGTTTCCCTTTGATATGATGGTTTCCATTCCTTTGAGTATATACCCAGTAATGGGATTGCTGGATCATATGGTAGCTCTATCTGTAGTTGTTTGAGAAACTTCTGTACTATTTTCCATAATGGCTGTACTAATTTACAGTCTCACCAACAGTGTAGAAGAGTTCTCCTTTCTCTGTGTTCTCACCAGATTTTATTGTTCTCTTTTTGATAATAGCCAGTCTAACTGGGGTGAGATGAATTTTCCACATTTTTAAATTAAATCTTATTTTTGTTAGAGTAAACAACATATAGTTTTTTAAAAAAAGAAAAAGGGAAAAAATATGAAGAGGCTTAAAAAATCCATCATATGTCCATATATCCTCATCTAGTCTGTTCCCCAAAGGTAGTCATGCTTCATGCTTGTTTAATAATTTCTTATGGTATCTAAATCCTTATCCCTAAATAATTTGCTCAAATTGCTTTCTAGATTTAGATAGTATATATTGATTTCCTGCTATGTAGGTAAGGATTAAGCTGTTTTACAACCTCTGCAACTTTCTCTCACCACATCTTTACATTATAGCATCTTCCCTTTTGGTTAAATTAACAGCCAGTGTTTACACTGATGTCATTTTGTAAATTCTATTTATTAATAAGTCAAGTAACATATTTGGATCATGTTACCTTTCTTTGGAAGACTCTGATTTCCTAGAATTGATAGCACACCCTTTTTTATTTGGCTAGTTTTCATTCCTTTTTTTTTTTGCTGGCCTGTACAGGGATCAAACCCTGGACCTTGTTATTACCATCACCATGCTCGAACCAACTGAGCTAACCAGCCAGCTAGATTGGTGAGTTTTCTATGTGCCTGTGGCAAATGTTGAATGCTCTAAAAGATCTACCAAGGTCTAATAATAATTGTTACTAATGCTGAAAGATGTTAGATAATTTGTCAGTTCTTTTACTCTCACTGAAGATGTCCCCCCATCTCAACACACAGATTCTCTCTCTCTCTCTCTCTCTCTCTCTCACACACACACACACACACACACACACACACGTCCAAACCTTCAGCATTATGTGATCTCTCAAGATGCTGATGTTTACTTAAAACTGGTATTCCATACCCTCTCCAACCAAGACATTTATGTATTAATCTCTCCTGTGCTAACTCAGTTAAAACTCCTCCATCTTCTCTCCCTCTTTCAAAATTTTCTTGGAATCTCTTTTCAGCTTTCTTACTTTTTGTTTGTTTGTTTCTTTTTTTTTTTGTTACCAGTAAGGAGATCTTAACCCTGGGCTTGGTGTCACCCGCACTGCACTCAGCCAGTGAGCACACCGGCCATCCCTATATAGGATCTGAACCTGCGGCCTCGGCGCTCCCAATGCTGCACTCTCCTGAGTGAGCCACGGGGTCGCCCCCCCCTTTTGTTTCTTATAGGTTAATATCTTTAAAAAAAAATTAAGTGCAATTTGTAGGTATACAAAAAGCTGTGTTTTGTAGATAATACAAAACAGTTTTTCAAAATGATTGTTCTACTTTTGTCTTCCTTTAAACTAATTTTAGTGGGTTTTGGAAAGTAGCAGAATGAGTTTGAACACAAAAATTCAAACTTTATTGTGAATAAAAACCATGTGGGGAGTTCCTTAAATGCAGACCTCTGATGTCCACTTCTGAAGATTCTGTTGGCCGAGGGTGGGATTCAGGATTTGTGTTTTTAACAAATACCCCAATAGATTCTGTTGAGGTCATCGGCAGTACACTTTTAAACTGTGAGTTTATACAGATTATAGACAGATTATGGCTCAATAGTATTACTCTTTCCTCTCTTTCTTTTCTTCACTAATTCTCATCTCCTCTTAATTAAGTAATCAATCACTCAAGAATAATTCAATGACCAAGGAGCCTCTGCAGTCCTTATTGCCTATCTGAAGAGGCAGGCACAAGGGCACCAAGCAGCTACATCACGACAGAAAATGGTGAGTGCCAAACGAAGGGCCCAGCTAATAATACAAAAGGACAGAGACAAGGGATGTAGTGGGGACAGGCCTAGAAGCTGTCACAACAAAGAAGGAGGAATCAAGCTAAAACTTGGGCTGTAAATGGGTGGGAGGTCAGCTGACATTGTAGATGAGGAAATGGAGTGGGCACGCATCCAGCAGACACTCACTTGTGTGTCTCAAAGCACCTCGAACCTGACATGGCTGACTTGCAGTCATGATCTCTCTCCCTGGATCGGGACTTTGCCATGCTTCCTTAACTCGTTGATTGGTACCACAATCTCTGCAGTTACTCAAGCCAGATATTTATTTTATCTTTATTTCTTTTACCCCAAAATTTATATATATATATTGCTGCACTTCTCCCCCTCTTTCCAACCATATGGAATTTATTCTTCATTCATCCATTTCACCTCCTAAATGCTCTATTTATCTCTGTCTCCATGCCACCTTTTAGTCCAAATTACCATATTTCACTTGGATTTTTGCAATCTGTGCTGATTGATCTGCTATGGCCCTTCTCCAAATTTTCTCCATATTGTGACCAGGATAATTTTCACAATATTCAAATTTGATTTTACCACCGCTTGAATTTAACAAATATCTAACTAGTACTTACTGTAAGCCACACAGTGTTTTGAGAGCTTTGCACGTATTAACTAATTTAATATAAACCTATTTAACAAAATTCTCTTGATTATAACTTTATAATGGCTTTCCATTGCCCTTAGGAAAAAGAGCAAAATATTTAACGTGGCTCGTAGGCGCTGCACAGTCTGGCCTCATACCAACTCTCCTGCCTCACCCTGCACCATGGGCCCCACACGTTCTGTGTCCCACCACACGGTCTTCTTTTAGTTCCTAGAATTCTCGCTACCCCCATCCTCACGTGCAGTCTTCCTAGTTAACTCCTACTTCTCTGCTAGGTACTAGCTAAGCTCCAGTCACCCTTCGGCTCAACTCCTGCTAGCCATGTTCATTTCTCATGTATACTCGTAGAAACATGACTTTTTCCTTCCATTCTTTTTTTTTTTAGTTATCTTCTTTTCATTATAGTATAATTTTTTGATTCATGCAAATCTGGTCCACTAGAGTAGTTCCCTGAAAGTAGGTTCCATGCAGGTTTTTGCTCATGATTGTATTTCCAGTACCCTGAGTATATGGTACATGGCACATAGTAGGGTTCTTAGGCATTTTTTGAATGGATAAACGAAGAGACTTAGAGTGAATAAAACAATGACCAGGGACAATTCTGGATTAATTTTCCTACACATTATGTTCCCAACTACATGAATTTAAATTATGGGTCCTCCAGAATAATGTTGCAAACACTCACGTAGTGAGTGGGTGTTTGAATGCCATCTTGGGAGAGCTTTCCAATAAGTGTGGCTGCTGCCTGTGTGATGGTTATAACTAGGGATCTTTCTTTTTGTAAACTCTTGACTGAACTAGACAGCAGCAGAATCACCAATCTGGACTAAGCTGTCAAAGCCTTTCATTTTTGACTTTTGTCTCAGCAATTCTTATCCTTTTGTCATTTGTGTTTGAAGGTGCCTGGCTGGACCTTTGGCTGAAAATCTAAGTGCTCTCTCTCTCTCTCTTCTTTTCTCCCACAGCAGACTCTGGGACCAATCTTGAATATATAAGAAAGGGTTTATTGAGTTCTAGATCAATATTTGGTAAATTTGAGAAAGTCAATTGGTTAGAGCATGGTGCTGATGACACCAAGGTCAAGGGTTTAGATCCCTGTACTGGCCAGCTACCAAAAACAGCAAAAAAAAAAAAAGTCAAGCTGATATTGGTGGTTTGAACTTCTGTTTTATCAGACAGACTAAGCCCTTTACCATGTGCCCCAACTATAATCACTGTACCCCTGTGTTGGATCCTTGTGCCTCAGTCACTCACCTGATAACTTCCCCTATTTTCTATGCATAGAGCTTTGTCTTGTTACTCACCTACACAGTCAGGCAGGAATCCTATCTCTGCTCCCCAGTCCAGGGAAGCCTCTCTATGGCCACCAATCCTTTCTGAGCCTTATCACCAATCTCACGGTCTGCCTGGATTCCCATATCCTGTGTGCTCCAAGACTCCTGCCGCCACTTTCCACTTGTTTCCCACAGCGTGCGGCTCTCACTGGAGTCCCTGGTCTCTACATTCTTGGCAACTGAGCTGAGCTGTGTACCAGATCCTGCTCCCGCCAGCTATAGGCTACAGAACTCCCTGTTCCTTTTCTAGGAGAGGTTGCCTCTGTCATATAGTTTGAGGGACTCTGGGAAGGGTGTTCTGCCACCTGATATCAATAGCATTCCCATCATGTCATCACCTAGAGTCACCTCTTTGGAGTTTTCAGGAATCTCATGTTAAAATGCAGGTGCCTCATGAAGAAACACACTCCTGCCTTTGCTGGAAAATACACATGCTGGATAGATGTTGGATGACAGAGGAAGACACTGGGAAGGACACCGGATTATTCACAGCATGGCCTAATCTACCTTCTCGGAGTTAAGTACTTCTCTCACCTCTAACGCTGAGACCCAATAGATTATTTAGGATTCTCTCAGATATGAATTGTGATTTTACATCTTCATAATTTTGGCTATGCTCCTTCTCTTTTCTATCATATTCTTTTCTTATTCTGTTATTGGGTAAGTGCTATTTATTCTTCTGGCCTCATTTAAATATCATCTCTCTGATATTGTTTCAAAAATGTTCCCTTGAAGGAAAAAAAATATTTGCCCTCCATTATATCACTTATAACATCACTTCATAGTTTAGTATACATGACTGTTTCCTTTCTAGAATATGAACCCTTTAAGGAAAAGAACTTTGCTTTAATCTTTGGATTTCTAGTTATTAAGAAATTTTAACTTTTTTTTTTTTTTTAGCTTCCGCATATAAGTAAGAACATGTAGTATTCATCTTTCTGTGCCTGACTTATTTCATGAACATAATGTCTTCTAGGCTCATGATGGCAGGATTTCATTCTTTTTCATGTCTAAGTAGTATTCCATTGTGTTTATATACCATGTTTTCTTTATCCATTCATCTGTCGATGGACAGCTAGGTTGAATCCATATCCTGGCTATTGTAAATAGTGCTGCAGTAAACATGGGGGTGCAGATATTTTTTTGATATGCTAACCAGTAGTGGGATTGCTGGATCATATAGTAGTTATATTTTTAGTTTTTTGAGGAATCTTCATACAGTTTTCCATAATGGCTGTATTAATTTACAGTCCCACCAACAGTGTATAAGATGAGTTCCTCTTTCACCACATCCTCGCCAGCATTTGCTATTTTTTAGTTTTTTGATAATAGCCAGTCTAACTGGGGTGAGATGATATCTCATCGTGGTTTTGATTTACATTTCCCTGATGATTAGTGATGTTGAGCATTTTTTTATGTACCTGTTGGCCATTTGTATATCTTCTTTTGAGAAATGTCTATTCAGGTCATTTGCCCATTTAAAAATCAGATTATTATTATTGCTGTTAAATTGTTTGAGTTTCTTGTATATTCTGGATATTAATCCCTTGTCAGAAAAATAAGTTGAACTTTTAGAAGTAGAGAGTAGCATTATAGTCACTAGATGCTGGGAAGGGTGGAGTTGGGGGAAAGTGAGAGGGTGGTTAATGGACACAAAATTACAGCTAGATAGGAAAAATAAATTCTAGTGGACTACAGTAGGGCTAGGCATCTATAACTAACAATAATTTATTGTAAGTTCTAAAATGGTTGGAACAGAAGAGCTCAAATGTTCTCATCATAAAAAATGATAAATTTATACAATGATGAATATGCTAACTACCCTGATTTGATCATTATACATTGTATATATGTGTTAGAATATAACTGTACCACATAAATATGTACAATCAATATACAAAGAAGAAATTTTAATTTTTTTGATTAGTTTGGTAGCATCAAAGAAACGCTGTGCTTACTTCATTTTGCTTAATAAAACATTTAAAAATATGTTTGTGCTGTAAAATTTGCATTTGTAACTTTTTCAAGCTGACACCATATCTGTATTTGTACTAACATAAACAACATAGAATATTTCCTGGACCAGATAAAAGTTTTTAACTCAGTGATATCAAAATAATCTTTCCAACTTACCCTGCAGGCGTCGTAAATTCCTTCCAGATATCCGGCACAAAACATCCCAAATTTTATATCATCACCATACACCTGTGGTTGCTTGCACACATCATCACTTATGATTTTCAGTCTGGCTTCTCGAAGATCATTTTGGGATTCCCCTTAAGGAAAAAACATAGTCATTTTAGTATTTACAGTCAGCATCCTCAGTGAGAATGAAGTGAGCAGAGTTTTTTCCTAATCTTTTTCATACGAAAGTTGTCAGTACAGAATGAGGTTAATATTAACAGTTCCTAGAGAAAAGAATTTCTGGTTAAAATCTGGAACACTTAAGGATAATTATTGTCTTGTCACATTTTTATAAATATCTCTACAGGCAAGAAAACCATTTGGTTTCTTTTTCTGTAAAATTCTTGTACCTTTATTTTAAAAACAATGAGTTTCAATGAGTTTATTCCTTTTTGTTTTTGTTTCATGCTGGACTGTACAGGGATCGAACCCTGGACCTTGGTGTTATCAGCACCATGCTCTAACCAATTGAGCAAACTGGCCAGCTCCATCATTCCATTTTTTATAAAGTTTGTATTTGTGGATTCCAGATTGTCCCCAGAAATTTTGCATGCTTTGATAGTTTTCTCCCTTCGCTCAATTGAATAAGTATAAAATTACGTACATTTATTTTATCCTTTACATCTTATGAAGAGCTTTTGCATACATAATGGCATTAAATGGCTATTATTTCACTTCTTATGTGTTACAATTGGAGGCTCCAGATTGTAAACTAGATCCTGAGTTGTAGAAGCCAATGTTATGGCAGGCAGACTAGCTAGAAAACTAAGAATAGCACAGACATCAGGGGTTCTTTATACCAAACCATATACTGGTTGGGAAATCATGACACTGTGGTTGCAAGAATTCTAGGATGATCCCCCAAATTCCTGTGTGATTCCCTTCCCATCAAATATGGGCAGGATATGTGAATATGATGGTTGTGCTAGATGGCAAAGGAGAGGGAACTTTGCAGGTGTAATAAAATCTCTAATCAGTTTGACGTTGAGTTAATCAAAGGCAGATTATCCAAGATGGGTCTGCCCTAATCAGGTGAGCCTCTTCAAAGAGGGCTTAGGCCTTTCCTGAGATACTTTCCTAATGGTGGTGGAGAAGTAAGCTGCCATGTGGTCTACACCTGCACGAAATGGAATTCTTCCAACAACCAGTGAGCTTGAAGAGAACCTTGAGCAGCAGATGACATCACAACCCCATCTGACACCTTGACTGCAATTTTATGAGACCCTGAGAAGAGGACTTAAGCTGTGTCTGAACTTCTGACTCATGGAAAACTGTGAAACAGTAATACATGTTGTTTTTAGCTCTTAAGTTTCTGGTAATTTGTTACACAGTAATACAAAATTAATATAGACACCAATTTCTTTAGAAGACCATTTCAAGATTTATTTCTGGAGAGGTGTTTGCAAACACATTTTAAAAAGTACTCAGGAAGCTTCTGGTCAAGATGGTGGAATAGATGGTCCCCAGTGTCACTCTCTCCCACAAATCAACCAATTTACAACCACTGGAAAGCAATGACAGCCAAGCTGGGGCTGCTGGAGCTCAGGGGAAGAGGAGGAGAGACCTACAGAGTTCAAAAAGATCAGAGAAGCCATGATGAGAGAAAGAAAAAACCACTCCGACCGTTTTGTGCTGCAGCTGTTTTAAGGCTGGAGCTGCTGAGCACATGGAGCAAGAGGCGGCCAAAGCCACAGCTGTGTCCTTCAGATGAAGTTTCTTGGAGGCAGCAGGGGAGAAGAGGGACTTGGTGGGCCCCAAGCCAGCAGTACCACCAACAGCATTCCTGTGGACCCACATAAGACTGAGGAGCCACAACAGTCCCATGGGAAGTTTTTGGAGCACAGGAGGTGGGGGAGATGGGCCCGTGGGGGGAACACTGGGGCACAGCAAGGACAGCTGATCTGCACCCCAATCAGTGCAGTACCACTGAGAGGAGACTAGTCATGAATACTGAATTGCAAGTGGTGCAGTTTGGTGAAAAGACTCTGACCCAGACCAGTGTTTCTGCACAACCCAGGTGCACCAGATTTCACCAGTTCCAGAAGTACCAAAGTCAACCATTGAAACCTGAGCTGCACAAAAGCCTTCCCTAGGGAATCAGTAGCAAAGCAACAATTTAGCCCAACCACAGAGCTCAAGTACTAGTCCCCACAGGAAGTTCCCCCATTTTAGAAGTAAGCAAAGGACAACAAATTAGTTCCAGTGCAGAGTTTAAGTGGTGGGAACAGCAAATAATCCAACACAGAATTGAAAGAAAAATCAAAGTCCCCACAACCAGAGACAAACTTTGATAACTAGTAAAGGTCTCATTTCACCAAAGAACATCTATAACACCTACAAGGACCAGAAGTCCCTTGGGCTACCAAGCCAGGAAGTGGGGAGGGCAGGGTGCCTCAGCCATGCCCCCTGACACCTGCAACCAGTTCCAAGGATGGAGGCCTTGGGCCTTGGCCACACCCCTGACAAGTGCATCCACTTCAGCGACGACCACTGAACCACCTCAGGAGGTGACCTGGGCTCTCCTGAGCTGGGGCGGTTGGGGGCGAGGCCCTTGTCCACTCCCCTCCCCATGCTCAATTAGCCCAGTGACGACCAGCAAACCTCAGCAAGAAGGGCCCCGGGTTCCTGAGCTGGGGTGGTGGGGAGCGAGGGCTGTTGCCACACATCCCTGACATCTTCACCTAGCCCGGCAATAACCAACTCACCGCTGGAAGCCCACCGGTCTCCCCTGTGGGAATGTAGGAGGTGCCACAGGCCTCAATCCCACCCCACCTTCCATCCCATTTCCTTCCCCTTGCCCCCTCCCTCTCAACTGCTCTACAACAACATCCTAGAATGTAAAAAAATAATATTAATAAAATTTAAAAGTGCCCAGAAAATATGTGTTAAATGCAGAAATGTGCTAAGAGATTATTCAAGTTATGCTGCCCTCTAAATACATTTTTTTTTTGCCTACTACATTATCAATTAAAAAAATTCATGTCCAATGCTGAGAAGGGCAAGGTGAAATTGACAATCTACGTATTGCAGGTGATAGTGTAAATTTATAATCTTTTCAGCAAACTAATTGATAAATTTATTTCAAGTTATAAAAGCATAACATAAATTCTGGACATCTCTGAACATATCTACTCTGGGAATGCTTCATGACATTTCTTACAAAGTATTAATTTTATTGAAGCAGCTTTTTATTTCTTAATCTTCTTTATTATTTCCTTATTTTTAATTTCATTCATTTCTACTCTTTATTATTTCCTTCCTTCTGCTTGTTTTAGGTTTATTTTTCTCTCTTCTAATTTTTTGAAATGGGAACTTAGATTATTAATTTTAGATCTTTTTTCTTTTATAATGCATGCATTTGCTATAAATTTCCCCCTTCACACTATGAGGGGTCTTCAAAAAGTTCAAGGAAAAATGTGTATTATCTTTTAATTCTATTTTTCCATGAACTTAAAAGAACTCCATATTTTAGGAGTATCCTGCATGCATTTCTATACGTATTTTTCATTTTCATTCACTTTTATGTATTTTAAATTTTTCTTAAGGACTTCGTCTTTATTTACAAGTGTGTTTAATTTCCAACCATTTGGAGAATTTACTCTTTTATTTCTGTTACTGATTCCTAATTTAATTCCATTATGGTCAGAGAACATACTTTGTATGGTTTCAATTCTTTTAAATTTTTAAGGTTTGTTTTATGGATCTGGATATGGTCTGTCTTGGTGAGTTATCTATAGGTGCTTGTAATGAGGGTGTATACTGCTGTTGTTGAATGGAGTGTTCTGTAAACGTCAGATTCTATTGCTACTCACAAAGCATTATGGCAGGTGTATTTTCCCAACCTCCTGGCAAAAAAAAAAAAAATTCTTCCCACCAAGCCAAAGGATTTGTGATGTCCTTCCTTTCATTATGAAGCAGAGATTGAAAGTCCTATCTTAGGAGAAAACCCATCAGAGCGAGTACAGATGTAGGTGTTAGGACAGCAGCTCTATTCTACTGGGATTAATAAATTATGGGTAATATTTTCTGTGATTGGTAATATGACCTTAAAGAAAGCAATGCATAGCTAGTATGAGATGGAACAAAACAAAATGGGACATCTGGAAAAAAAATCTGTATTCCTGGCTACTTTAGTAAAAGGTTATAACTAGTTCCTTACTGGAGACTGGGAATTAAAGGCTTATTCTTTACAGTTTGTTGTATATAAGAAAATTATATAGAGTTCTGTGAATGGGTTTTGTCATTCTCGGAAAGCCATTTTTCATCTGGACCACATCATGGAATATAGAGTGTGCCTGACTGAGAATGCCTAAAACATCCTATAACTAAATTGTTACTATTTCTTAGGAGATTAAGTTAGTATATCAAGTTGAATCATTTTAGAAAGGGCAAAATGCATTGATGATTTATCTCTATTCTATTTTTATTCATGATCACCCTTAAATTTGCCTCTTTAGTACTGAAACAAATTTTGCTGCATGGGCATAAGAGTATTTTGTTTAGGAAGTCAATCCGAATACCCCTGGACACAAGCTGGGATGATTAGAGGCTTTTTCGGGGATGAACGTGGATTCTGGTGAAGAGAGGGGAATGTATTCCCTCTGTTTACTGGGGAGCATGATTGAACCTTGAGTTGTTGTTGGCCACCTTTGCCGCTATGTGGCGCTAGAATCCCTCCGAAAGAGGCCAACATAGGGGAAAGCAGGGCCAAGAGATGGAAAAGATACAGATTCAGAGCCCGATGGCGTTATAAGAACCCCTGAATCTGGCTGTGTCTGGAGCCAGACTCATCACAGTTCTTGACTTCCAAATTACAAGGGCCAAATTAGCTGTTTTTTGTTTTTGTTTATGCTTTGGTTAATTTTAGTTGAGTTTCTGTCACTTGCAAAAAAAAAAAAAAGGCTTAACTTTTCCAACCAAGCTATGTGGAAATGGCTGATAGAAATTAAATCTGATGGAAATTAATACTGATGGAAATTAAATCACACTGCACTAAATAGGGTTTAGGGCTCTGTTTACTCTTCTGAGATACCCACCGCCGTAGAAAAGTGCTCCAAATCCTGTGATGTAGACAGTTGAATTTGGTCGGAAGGACGCAGAGGCTTCTGGCAAACAAATCCGACGTATGTCATCTGAAAAGGTGACTCTGGGAGAGAACTGCACAACGGCAATGTCATACTCTCTTGCTGGGGAGTGATACCTCTCATGGACAATAATTCTTTTGACATTTCTTTTCATTAAAGGAGGTTTGATTGTTGTTCCAAAGCTAACAGTCCATTCATGTGGATTTACTTTACTGGAAAAAAGTTAGAAATAACAGAATATATGAGCTGCACAGAATATATGAGCTACATCAACTCCATTTAGGCTAAAAAAGAGAAAACTCCATCTTGAGAATACTTGGTTGCAATTACAGTTTTCTCTGACTGTTTAAATATAATCTATTTATAGTATTTTGAAAGAAATAATATATACAAACAGCATATTAGAGCTGAAATTCAATACAGAATTATTGAATTTTAGAGCTGTAAGGCACACAAAATATCATTTAATAATCCCTTCAGCAATTGTTTATTGAGCATCTATGTGCTGACCCTTATCTGAAATGTTGGGGATAAAGTGGTGAGCAAGACCCCAAGATAAGGGTCCTGCTAAAGGAGTATTAAATTCCAGGGAAGGAAAAAGATCAAAACAATTTAACAAACTTCAATAATAAAAAACTAATAAAAAACTTCAAAGAGTGATAAAGGTTATGATTAAAATAAAATAGGGTAATGGAATAGCCTACTAAGGGATCATTAGGGAAGGCTTTTTTGAGATCAACCCGTTTGGGCTGAGACATGGCTGATGAGGAGACAGCCATGAAAAATATCAGAAAGACAAGTTTTAGGCCAGTGTCCCAAGGCCTCGGGCCAGATGGACTGCAGTCAAGACACGGGGGGAAGCACAGTGGATGAGTTTGGAGAGGCAGGCAGAAACCAGATTTTAGAGTTTCTTATAGGTCATTATAAAGTGCTTCGATTTTATTCAAGTGATAAGGAAATCCACTGGATGTTTTTAAGTTGAGGAATGATGTAGTCTCATTTACATTTTTTAAAAATCCTGTTGGTTCTTTCTGGAGAATAGATTGTTGAAGGTCAAGAGTAGATGTGGTAAAAGCTGTCAGAAGATAATTGCAGTATCCTCTCTCAGATGATCATGTGTGGTTGACTTCTAGATTGTGGGTTTGAGCAACTGGTGGATTATGGTACATACAAGGATTAGAAAGACCATTTAGTAATGTTGAAAGATCATCTTGTAAAGCCTTTGATTTGTACTTGTGGGAAATAAGGCTAGGTGGGTTAAAATCTTCATGCGTCTATCTGCTTCTCTCTGCTGTTTTCTGTACAGAACATTGTCTTCCACCAAAACCTATCCATTAATAGCAAGATTGATGATCCTTAAGTAATTAATTGAACTACCATTATTCATGAAGGATAAGCAAAGAAACAGATATGAACATGTAGATACTTGTTTATCAACCTAATCATTTCTTAATAGATAGCTTTAGTCATGGAAGGAGCATATAAACATATCAATGAGGTTTAAATCCAGTTTGACAGTTTTTAATTGTGCTGGGATCATTGCCATTTGAAAATTTTGTTTTCATACACCATCTTGATGTGCACAAATACTCTAATGAGAAAAGTTAGATAAAAATTGATTTGTGAACACAATTGTTCATATAGCAGAGATACACTGACGGTTTCATTTATAAATCAGTCTTTTGTGAGTTTTCTTGGTGCAAAGCTATTCTCTCAACTTAATTATACCTAGATTAACTTAACATAAATCAATTTTTTAGGACTTGAAAATGTAAAGGTCAGACGTTGAACCGTGTTACTCAAGTACGAATGATCATTCTAGAACTTTCAAACAAAGATCTGATATTATTTAATACAGCTTGTTTTATTACATGTGTAGATAACAAACCTGAAAGAAATACCTGGCATGAGAGATGCTAAATCAAGATTAAGAATAAACTTTCTAAACTTTTAACCTGGGCTCAAATCGACAAGATGAAATTTAATGGTGATTAATATAAAATAGTAATTTAGATTCCAAAGTAAATCGTAAAAATTCAAAGTAGTGACACCTGGTCTGGAAGCCATCCCTAAAGAAAGGATCTGGAAATTTTGTTGATTATTAGCTTAAAAATAATCAAACATCTGATGAGGTTTCTTAAGTTTTAACTCAATATTAAGCTGCAATAATATTAAACAATCTCAGGATAGGAAAGGTCATAAAAAGTCATTTAGTCCTCTCACTGATCCAGTGTTTGAGGAATGGGATTTGGCTTGAGGAAGACATATGCTTGTTTTCAACTCCACCATCTCCTAACACTGTGAACTTGGCAAGTTTCTTAACTTTTCTTATCCCCTAGTTAAAAAAAGCTTGCCAAATGGTGTGGATATAAGAATTATATAAAACAAATCTTAAGCACCTATAATAATAATAATAATATTATTATTAATGCTTAATAATTGTATAATAAAAGCTTAAGAATTGTGGTAATTGTTCAAAACACACTCCCAAATGGTGATTGTCTATGCTTGAACACTTCTGCAGATGCGGGCATGCTCTTTGCCTTAGAATCCCTTTTTTCATCTTGGAAATCATTTAATCTTGCAGCAACTCTGTTGTTGGCAAGTTCATTCTTGATTCTCTAATTCTCTTCCACATAAGAGTACTTCAGATATATGAATACAACTATCATCTCTACCAGAGCTTTCTCATAGTAAAATTTTGTCTCATAGAACAGTGTATCTCAAACTTCAATGTGCATACAAATAATCAGGGGATCTTATAAAAATGCAGCTCCTGATTCTGTAGGTCCAGGATGGGACTTTAGATTCTTGTATTTCTAACAAATTCCCTAGTGATGTGAATGCTGCTAGTCCATGGACCATGCTAGGAGTGGCAAGGGTGTATGGATATATTTTGCCTTTTTCTTTACCATTCAAGACTCTTTAAGAGCATTTCATTTTGTTGAGTTCTTTTTAAGCATGTCATCCAGAACAGAATTCACTGTCCCAGGTAGGATCTGACCAACAAAGAGTCTAACATCTCATTTATTCTGGTTTCTACATTTCTTCCAATGCAATTTAAATCACAATACAGTTGGCCCTCCATATCTGTGGCTTCCACATCCATGGATTCAACCAACCTTGGATCTAAAATATTTGGAAAAAAAAAAAAAAAAAAGAATAGTTGCATCTGTACTGAACATATACAGACTTTTTTTTCTTGTCATTATTTCCTAAATAATACAACAACTATTTAAATAGCATTTACATTGAATTAGGCATTATAAGTAATCTGGAGATGATTTAAAATATATGGGAAGATATGTGTAGTTATATGTAAATATTACACAATTTTACATCAGAAGCTTGAGCATCCTTGGATTTTGGTATCCATAGGGGATCCTGTAATCAATCCCCCACAGATACAGAAGGACTACTGTATGGCTTTGGGGACAACTGACTCAAAGTGAGTTATTTTCTGATAAAAATTTCCAAATAGTTTTCACATGTTAAACACATTTCTTCTTTCTGTGCTATACTTGGATTTTTTTTTTGTATCTAAGTTAGAGCCTTACATTTATACCTGCTAAAATTAATCATTTAGTTCTTTCTCATTATTCTAAGATAATTAAGGTCCTTTTAAACTTTTTGTTTTTCTTACCCAACACATCCATTTCTCTTCCAGGCTTATGTAATCAGCTAATTCGATGAGCATAATTTCCACATTATCTGTCAAGTCTAGAAAATATACTGTCCAGGACATAGTGGAGGTTATATATCTCTAGTAGGCCATAAAAATATCCTCAGTATTTTAACAGACATTCTTAATCATCACCTTTTGTGTTGAGTTGTTTGGTTAATATGCCACCGGTTACCTTGCATTCAGTTTCTATTATTTGTTTTTTTCCAGAATCCTTCCCATTTTACTTTGACATATATGACATTAGTCATATTATCTATCTTGCTGTGTTTAGTTCATGTAAGCATATTTTAAGGGAAACACTGAGAAAATCTAGAACATTCAGAGTAGAAGAACCAACATGGTAGGACATCTGGAAGTTGTGCTGTGAAAATAAAGTAATGATATTTATTTTCATGTATGGTTTGGAGATTCTCACTCACTCTATATTTGCTGTGAAAAAAGAGAAACTAAAGAACAGCTGTTATATGGATGAAGAAATAAGTAGTTCCAGGTGAAACAATGAATATCAGTGGTGGAGATTAATAGAGTGTAGATCTGGTGTTCGATGTTATAAAGACATTTGTAAAAATAGAACTATCTTCCACAAAATTGGCTAACTCTGGCAAAGTATGCTCTCCATTACATTTTCTTCCTTATCCATTGCCTGAGGTTAGTTACAGTCTGAAAATACTAAATGGAAAACTCCAGAAATAAACATTTGATGAGTTTAAATTTTGTGCCATTCTGAGTAGCGTGATGAAACCTTGTTCCACCCCTTTGCATCCCACCCAGGACGTGAATCCTCCTTTTGTGCAGCAGATCCACGCAGTAGATGCCCTGGCCCTTCAGTCACTTTGTATTGGTCTCAGTTATCAGGTCGACCATAGACGTATCGCAGTGCTTGTGCTCTAGTAACCCTTATTTTACTTAATGGCCCCAAAGCACAAGAGTAGTGATGCTGGCAATTGGGATTATGCCAGAGAAAAGCTGTAAAGTGCTTCATTTAAGTGAAAAGGTCAAAGTTCTCAACTTAATAAGAAAAGAAGAAAAGCTGAGGTTGCTAAGATCTATGGTAAGAACAAATCTTCTATTTGTGAAATTGAGAAGAAGAAAAAAAATTGTCTGTGGTATATATAGGGTTAAGTACTCTTTGTGGTTTCAGGCATCCACTGGGGATCCTGGAACATATGCCCCATGGATAAGCGGGGACTACTGTACTTTGAGGTATTCAGCCGAAACTGCATAAGGGATTTCTGCCTTTCTAATATATCAATCTATTGAGTTCTCCTATTTTTAAAACATTAAAAATCTACACACACACACACACACACACACACACACACATATGTGTGTATATATATATTCTACATTAAGAATCTCTATATAGATTTACCTTCTTAGATAGATGGAATTTATTATGGTAACAAAAGTCAGAATTTTATAGGTCAAAAGGAATGGGAGAAGATCTAGTTCATCCACAAGTATAATACACCAAGGTTCAGTAACTTACCCAAGGTCACAGACATTTGAACCAGCTCTCTTGCTGGCTGAGGCATATTTTGCCCACTAAATCCTGCTGCCACCTGTTTTACAGAGATATTCAGGAAGCCCTTGTTATAACCATAATAATTGGTACTGGAGAAAGGCCATAAAGGTAATCATTTTAGAAAGAAACCCCCAATTTTAAATGTAATAGTGATAAAAAGATTTGATTTGTTATTACCTTAAAAGTAAAAATTATTTAAAAAGTGATTTTTATCTTACATTTAATAAAATTTGTGTTGTGCAAAAATGCTCACAATGAATAAAGAATTAATTGGTGTCAACTGTTTATCTGAAAAATTATATGATAGCACAATATGCTGTTCTTTATTTCAGGTTTGTCTTTTCTAGCATTATTTATTGTCAAGAGGTTCTCTATTACAAGAAGGTCTCATGGAATAGATTAGGGCCGCTCATAAATCTTTGATACTTAAGGAAATCTCTTTTGAAGTACCTGTATTTATCATCATCCCAGTAATTTCTCATTTTGGTTGTGAACTGCCCTAATTCCACCAGATTTTTATGTCAGTGCTGTGAATTTGGTTTGAGTAGTTCTATATTATCACAGTTAGCAAATTCATGCATCATCTTCTACTGAAGATTTCAATTTCACTTTGCTATGAATTTGATTATTTATGACTGGCCCAAATGTTTGGCAGAATCACACACAAGTATCAAGTGGAGAACATTTTGTCTGTTATTAGTAAATACTTTGTGTTAGGGTGTCTTCTGCTTCCTTACATGATTCTTTATTTAAAACTCTGAGGACTTGATGGATGAATACTAGGATAATGATTACTACTCCTTCTGTCCCCACCAAACTTTCCAAATAAGTATGCAAGTGTAACATTATTTTAGAAAGGAACCTGAAAGAAGATTTTGGGAAATTGATCATCACTCAAAACATGATAAAATTCAGAACTTTTTAGTAGTAATAGGGTCCAACTTAAGGTCAACAACTTACTTCTTAAAGCAGTGTGCTGCGGTGACAAGCCACATATTACTAATTAAGGTGGCCCCACACTGATGGATGTTATTACGCTGAAGGGAAGCTTGCCAAGGCCAGGCAGCCTTGGCTGCAATGTCTCCAGACATTATTCTGTTAACTATTAATGGAACAGCTCGTTTTCCACAACCTGAAAAAGATGAGATCATTAAGTTATAAAAAATGTCTCTCTAATCTTGATGCAGAGAAGCTAATAGAGAGCTGCAATGCGATATTTACATTTATTACTATAAAAGCATATACTATATCACTATCCATTCTGTGTATTTCCTGACATGTTGATTTTTGCTCACTTCCTATCTTTGTAGATGTGGATGTATTTTGCCTGCTGAAGCTGTGTTAAGCTGCGAAGGATTGACACACCACAAAGTGTCAAATGAGCCCTGAGTACTTGCAGTGTAAATTATCCAGATATCCTGGGAGCTCCCACTAAGATAATTGTCTCCTAGGTTTAGTTGATCCAGCAGTTTTACCTTGACACGACGTTCTCACCCCTCAGTCCAGGAAAGTAACTCCCCCTGGCCAGATAAGTAATTGCCCATTTGTTGGAATCCCCTCTCCCCTTCATTTTTCTGAGTGACTAGTTCCTAAAATGTGCATGGATGTATGTATCACGACCAGTCTCTCACTCTTCAGGATGGAGGGTTCCATGTTCCCACATTTGCTATTGTTGGGAAAAACATTTACTCTATTTGGTGCATCAGATCAGAGATTACTTTGCTACTTAAGATTCCTACTAAGAATTAAGCCTATTTAGAGCATGGTGCTTATAAAGAAAATATGATAGATTCAGTTCTTATTGCAACTAATTAGGTATCAAAAAAGAAAATTCATTTTACTGGTATTGATTACACTCCAGCTGCAGCCAGCCATTTTAGAAACCCCCATCACTCCGGCATTATCCTAGTCTCTAGTTTAGGCTGCTATCTGTCCTCATCTGAAGGACTGCAGCATCTCCCCAATTCATCTCCCTGACTCCAGTCTTGCCTCTCCAATCCATTCTCCATGCTGAAACCTGAGTGATCTTTCTGTAATCTGTGAAGCCTTCAGCAACTCTTCATTGCCCTCCCGATAAAGTCAAAATATTTCGGCGTGGTTCTGGTTCATGATTACCATTAATCCCAAGCCTTTCTCATGCCCCCCAGACTCCCTTCTACATTCCAGCCATACTGACATTTTTCAATTATTAGAAATTATCACATTCTTGCTTGCCTGGAGACATTTTAATTTACTACTCCTCCTATCCAGGACACTTACTCCACCTGTCACTTGATTTATGGCTTCTCCCCTCTCCTATCTCAGGGATCACTTTCTGACCCCCAAGACAGGGTTAGTTGACTCTCTGATTGACTTTGATCATAGCACTGTGCACTTTCTCTGCCATAGCATTTATCATACTATTTTAATATTTCCTAATGTATTTATGTCTTCCCCTACCTTCAAGCTCTAATTTTACATCAGGGATCATGTCTTATTTACAATGGTACTACCAGCTTTGGGCACACTTTCTGGTACTTGGTAGACATTAAAAGATATTCGTTGAATGAATGAATAAATGCATAAGAAAATTTAGGGTATTCTCAAAACACAGAGGCAAATGCATGAACACCACTGCTCAAATTCATCACCACCTTTGTAAAATCTGTCAACATTTAGGTCACAGTGGTTTGAAGTGAGTTAGTGAAACTGCTGTCAGCTTTAAAGACGATTACATTAAGAATATTTTGACAAATAATGGGGTTTATCTTCTCTCCATGTAACACTTTCTCCTTATTTTATTTCTCAGCAGAAAGCACATTTAATAGCATTTTTAAGTGTTAGAAAAGCAAGTTCATTTATTCCAAACCAGAAATACATACTTTATTTTAATCATCCCAGAGTTTTCATCATGTAAAATTATTTTCATGAATATGACTAAAAGATCAGTCTTAGAAGTATTTGTATTTATTGACCAATTGTTATTCTCTCTCAAAGAAAATGTGGGACCTAGATGGAAAATGACGAGCTGATATTTGAAGAAGTTCTTTCTGATGTGGAAATTGAACTTGTTTATATAAGCTCACTAGACTTACATGCTTGGACAGTTAGTTTCCCTGTAGATGAGCTCATTGCTGAAAAACAAAATAGAATAAAGAACGATAATTTGACATTCTCTTGGTTGGTTTCAATAACCAGGAATTATCAGAGGATACTGACCACGTCTGGATTCCAGATAGTTAAGAATATAGATCAGTCAGGAGAATGTTATATATGATATAAGAATGTATGTGTGGGGTTCCAGTCAAGATGGTGGAAATAGACGGTCCCCAGTGTCACTCTCTCCCAGAAATCAACCAATTTATAACTACATAAAAAAAGCAAGAACAGCCCAGCTGGGGCCGCTAGAGCTCAGGGGTTGAGGAGGAGAGACCTACGGAGTGCATGAAGGTGGGAGAAGCCATGATGAGAGAAAGAAAAAACTACTATGACCATTTCATGCCACGGCTGCTTTAAGGCTGAAACTGCTGAGCGCACAGAGCAGAAGATGGCAGAAGCTGCAGCTGTGCCCTTCAGATGGAGTTGCTTGGAGGGAGAGGGGGATGGGATGAGATTGGACAAAGGGCATAAAGAATAAGTATGATTTGTAACAATATATATATGCTAGTAATATTGATTTGATCAACATATATCAATGTTGAACCCCAAAGATTTGTATAATCAATTTCGATTCCATCCATAAAAATTTTTTTAAAAAAGAATATATGAGTGAAATTTTTGCAGAGAATTTTTAGGCAACCTGTAATTAGATGGATAATATCTCAAGGAGTGGGTAAAGCATAAGCAATGGATGATCAAAACCCACAAATGCAGTCATGTGCAGCATACCATTTTGATCAACAATGAACTACATGTATGATGGTGGTCTCAAAAAATTATAATACAGCTAAAAAATTCGTATTGCTTAGTGACATCAAAGCTGTCATAAAGTCATAGTGCAATTACTTAATTTGTAAAATAAATTTAGTGTAGCTTAAGTGTAGAGTCTACAGTATTGTATAGTGGTGTCTTAGACCTTCATATTCACTCACTCACCCAGAGCAACTTCCAGCCCTGCAAGCTTCATTCATGGTAAGTGCCCTATACAGGTGTACCATTTTTGGCCATTTATACTGTATTTTTACTGTACGTTTTCTATGATTAGATACATAAATACTCACCATTGTGTTACAACTGCCTACAGTACTCAGTATGGTATCATGCTGCACAGGTTTGTAGCATACGAGCCATAGGCTACACCACATAGCCTCGGTATGTAGTAGCTTGTGCCATTTAATTTGTGTAACTACACTCTATGATGCTCGCACAATGATGAAATCACCTAATGAAGCATTTCTCAGGACATATCCCTGTCGTTAAGTGATGCATGAATGTAGTTTGTATTAGTACAGAACTGTGGTTTTCCAGGGGTACAAATAAAGCCTCTTTGGATTCTACTTCAGGAGATGAGAAAGTGGAGAAAGAGGGAGGAAGCTGATGGGCTCCAGGCCTCAGCCTCAGCCTCAGCCTCAGCCTCCACCAGAACAGGGCCGCTTCTACCTCTTCTGTTTACTTAAGATTTCACATAAGTCTTTTTTTGGTCAAAGTGTTCAGGATGAAAAAAAACTTTGAAAATTCCCACATAAACTATATTTAAAATGCTTCTAACATACAGTTCCTAAATGATAAAAACTTTTTTTGAAGAATAAACTTTGTTCTTATCCAACATCTGCTGAATATTGGTAAAGGCCAGTTATTGGACATAACCTAAGGCTAAGTTCTGTCAATTTCCAAAAAAAATAAATAAATAAAAATAAATAAATAAATTAGGAATCTGACTTAGGAAACACAAACATGTAAACTCATATGCATATATCAAAATATCATGTTGTATACCATAAATACATACAATTTTTGTCAATTTTACCTTAATAAAGCTGGGGGAAAATAAATTGGTGGAAGGTTGCATGAAAACTGTGATGATTTTTAAGTTTAAATGGTTTACTGAGCAGATGAGAATAAACTATTTTACCCTTTTCTACCAGTGCTATGCTTCTCAGACTCATATCCTCAGCATCCTATTCCCCACTGTGCAAAATAAGAATGTTTTATTCTACTAAATTTCTATAAATCTCATTTGGGAATTTAGTGATAATGAACACTACCCAGTGGGAGCTTTTGAAAATATCCAATTCAAGGCATCCCCAAATCGTTGTATGGTGAAGAATCAATTGTTCAGGACAGATTTTCAGTACTTACTCAATGGAAGAAATTCAATTTTCTGTCAAATGTAGTTTAAGGTAGTAGATTTCTTGTTTCATTTAAAAAAACTAGTTTGTCATTAGTAATACATTTAAATGGAAAATTCTATAGTAGTAGAATTCTTCAGTTAAAACTTTGTCAACTTAGTCTGAGCAAAATGCAAGTCATCCATTTCCAGGAGTGATACCAGGGTAAGCATAATGGTTGTGAGCTGAATTATGGATTCAATGGATTGAATTATGTCCCCCCAAAACTCACAGAAGCTTGAATTATGTTCACCAAGTTTTACGTATTAGAAACTTAGCCCCCACTGTGACTGTAAAGAAGGTGAGAAATCCTATTATGATACTTGGAAGTTGGATCCTTGAAGAGGTGATTGGATTGTAGGACCGTGCAATAGTGACTGGATTAAAAATGATGGTCAAGGGTGTGGTTCTGAGGGCTCTGAAATAAGAGGAGAGTCTGTCTGTCTCTCTCTCTGCTTTCTCTGCTCTCACCATCTTGCAATGTGAGACCCCTGGGTCACCGTTGCCACCACCAGATGGACTTTGGACTTCCCAGCCTCAGAAACTGTAGTGACCCAGGGGTCTCACATTGCAAGATGGTGGAAGCAGAGAGGGCAGAGGAAGAGAGACAGACTCTCCTCTTCCTTTAAAGCCCTCAGATCCACACCCCTGACCACCATTATTAATCCAACTTTGGACTTCCCAGCCTCAGAAACTGTAAGCAATAAATTTCATTTTCTTTATAATTACCTCGTTCCATGTATTTTGTTATAAGCAACATAAATGGACTAATACATGAGCATAATTGGATTTTTGAGAATTGGATTTTTAGGGAGAATGACTACACCTAGACGTAAACCTCCAACACACAAGTAACTGCTGAAGTTTTCTAATTTTGACCAAATATTTTTACTTTTCAGATATAGGAACTTCTATCAACAAAAGATTAACATCTTAATCTTGAAAAGTGATCATCCCCTGACTCACTTCAGAGTTGAGAGAAATCTAGTTAGTATTCAGGGTCTACATGTTACAAGCATCATGATGGGAGGTCGGCATGGAAGCTGCTTCACCGGCCATCATGTTTGCAATGCAAAGAAGTCAAATTCAGCTTTCCTTTGATCCATTGCATCTCATGAAGGACCCACACCACACGGTTATTTGTTAAAACAAAACACAGATTCTTGACAAATTATGGATAAATCTTGATCAGCATTATTTCTAGACTTGATCTATAGTCTCTGCAGTTTTCTATTGGAAGTCCCAAATGTAAGTGTTCCTGGAGAGCAATGTTTTTGCCTGTTGCCTTAAGGATTCTACTGAGCTTCCCACTGAATGGGCCTTTCCTGCATGCTAGTCAACACTACTCTTTTTACATCTGGAAATTCAGAAACCTTCCAAGTTCTAGCTCTTCCTTTTACCAGTCAGTGACTTACATTAATGCTGCCAGTTTTCCAAAGGATATGTACAATTTAATAGCTTTCTTAGTAGTAAGAGCCTCTATGTTCCACATTATGTTTTCTGTTTTCTTGTGTATATCCATAATATTTCTATGATTTCAGAAAGAACGAACATTACCATTGCAATTTTACAGGTGAAATAATGGAGGCATGGGCCCACTATTTGGATGATCCTGCAGTGACCAAGTGGAGTTAGAATTAATCAGGTAACTCCAAAATGAGGTTCTCCATCAGCACATCCTGCCTTTTAATTTAGTACAATCATCGAAATAAACTAAAGACCCCAAATTGAGCCTGTAGGAAACAAAAAGGCCATGCAGCCAATGACCATTTCATGCTTCATTTCTGGTTTCAGATCACTCAGGCTTTTAAGTTCCTGGTAAATTAACTGGTTATTGGAAATTGCATAGAACACATCATAAACTTATCAGAATGGCCACTATTTCACAACCTGAATTCATTTGCTTCCCCATCTCACAAAGAAGGCAGATTAAGCATTTGACAGGTTCCTCCCTCCCGGATGGGAGAGGTCTGCAGCTTTATTCCCTGAGGAGCTGACTCTTTGTCACAACAGCAAATTCCTGTACATTCCATTACCTCAGATTTTCACTTCCTGATTCGGGTTTCCTTCTGAAGAGTCAGCTAGACCCTTACGAGGGCAGGGCAACCTGTTTCATGTCCCATATAAAACACTTGCTCTGACTCTTCTGTGACTCTCTTAAGTCGGGTGTCCCCTGGAATGTTTAGGGGAAATTTGTTCTTGTCTGTTGGAAGTAGATGTTGTGAAAGCAGCTTAGTGTACAAGGGTAAACAGGTTTCTGTCTAACTGGACTCCTCAGAGTCTTTAATATGTGAATATAAGAGATGACATTCCAAGAGACAAATAACATAAACGGAATTTCTAGAATGTGTTTGACCACAGACCCCCTTTTTTATGGAGCCTTTTGAGAAATTAGAAATCTAGGCTTGAACCTTAGCTCTTTTTAATTATTAGATTCCTTCACTTTTTTTTGCCCGACTTTGATGACTATAAAGGTGAATTTGCCTTCTTCATTGGAATATAAAAGTTAAATTAGATACTGTGTGTAAGGGGCATAGAGATGGGTCTTGAGAAGAGTTGGTTGTCCTTAATTTTCAAAAGTGATAGCAGTATAATGAGCTAAGGGTGAACAGGAAAAGTGGAATAATGTATATATGGTTTCAGTGATTTTTTTTTCTAGTTTAGTGATTTTTAAAGCATTATCTATAAGATGGCTTCAGTGGCTCCAAAGCTGGTTTACCATTTTCCCAAATGCCCATAGGAAAAAAGCTAACAAAATTTCATAACATCACCGTATATAGTAAATACCCATACTTTTCAAAGGCAACAAATAAGTTTGTGTTTTAGGAAATTCCCACCCAGAAATACAGTTGTTGCTAAACTCTTGGTATTTTCACTTGCTTAGTCATGAAAGCAGTGGCTGGGTCAGATTAATCCTCTGTTAGTGGTAAAGGTTTGTCTCTATTTTGGGATCATTGGCAATCAATTGCTACTCAGAAAACTACTTGATGACTATCTTTAGACATGGCTTTCATCAGAGAATAATAAAACCTCGAAATGTCACTTCTTTAACTTGAAATTTATTTCATCTGAATTCTAGCTATTATTTGAAATGGAAATAATGGTGAGTAGGTTTAATATTAGAAAAAACATGGACCTAATGGAGAAGTTGATATCACATGCAAAGACAGCTACTTACCATTAACTTGAACTGATGAGGCATTTATTGACAAAGCTCTTGTATTCCTTATCTTCTCATTTAAGATGCTATGGATTTTCTTCTCTCTTACTGCTCTTCGCTCAGTAGAGGAGAACTGGAACACCATAATGACATCTGCTTTCACACCATCTTCCTCTGGACTGTGACATACAAGAGAAAGGTGCATATTCAGAGAATACATCTGATATTGTTCTACTCTTTCCTACATCTTCTTCCCCTGAATTAAGCTTCAGTTGCTGACAGTATCAAGGGCTAATGTTCTCACATTCATACTTTTCTATATGTCACTTGTGACCAAAGGTTATTTCATATGTTCCCTTTTCTAGTTTTCATTACATTTTGAGTGCATTTTCCCCATTAATTGGAAGGCTTGTTAAAGCAACTGGGTAAGACTCAGACATAAAAAGTCATCCCCTAAATCATAAACTCTGACAGTTGGAAGAAACCTTGGTGTTCTCTTAGGTTAATCCATCATATATCTGATACCTGAATCACCTCTACAGCATCCATGATGAGTGGTCCTCTAACACCAGTGCAGTAATTAAAATGAGAGGAAATCTACTTTCCTAAAGAGGCTCATTTCTCTTTGGTCAGCTTTGATTTTAAGAGAGATTTTGAGTTGAAATATGTCTCCCTGTATTTTCCATTCCATAAAGCTTAGGTCTACCAGTTGCAACATACATAATACATCAATTCCCTCTTCCACCTAAAATATTTGAAGACAACAATATTGTGGGCCCTGAATCTTCTTCAGATTAAACATGTCCAGTTCTTTGAACTTTTTTCACATAAATAGGTTCAAGTCCCTCCACCCTTGGGACTGAATTTTTACATACTCTTAAAATAGAAAAATTAAACAATTAAAAGTTTTTTTAAAAAGTTGGAACCAATACATATTGATCTGCCAGATGTCCTATTTTTACACTACAAAGAATCTAAACCCTAAAAAACACTAGAAGCCTACCTTTCTGAAGCTTTTGACTAAAAAGAGGAAATTATATCAATTTTGAGAGATTTTATTTATTGTGGTCCATTTAGGCACTGGAATATAAAGATATAAATAATCAAAATTTTATGGCAAATTGGCAAACAGACAACCAAGTAATTTTTCCTATTAAATCAGAGAAATTAACATTGTTTACCAAGTAGAATTTCTTTGGACCCACACAAAAAATTACACAGAGATAATGGCTACAAATACAAAGTAGTTCATAAGACTATGATAATGTTGCTAGAATGCTATGGCAAATTAAAATTTAAAAATAGAGTACATGAATTCTAGAAAATTCCGACATTTAGATGCTTTTTATCTCCTAAATATTATAAAAATTATCCAATTCATATTATAAAATCATTATGGAAGTCTCTTGTTACTGAACAATTATGTTACGAACTTGGAGTAAGTCTGCCAGTAAGACATTAGTCTACTAGTAAGAAAAGCAGTTATTATTTCCCTCAAATAAATATGATTCTGAATATATTTGTTTTCTTTATCTTTAAGAAGATGAGTCATAAAGGCTCGAGGGTTTGTGCCTATGACATATGTGTTCTGCTATGTGATTTTCTTTTTCTTTTTTAAAATATATTTTAAACTAAATTTTATTTTATTTTAAATATATAAGATGTCTTTATTTTCTTTTTCTTTTTCTTTTTTTTTTTTTTTGCTATGTGATTTTCAAAATAATGATTGAAACCTCTGAGCATTTTCTGCAACTGATATGAGTGTTCCACCCACATGACAACAGAAAGAAAATTTATTACAACAGAGACATCTTTTTGTTTTGGCATGCCACCTGTCACTAGGGCTTCATTACAGGTAAAACGTGTGATCCCATTTTGTTTTCAACTTTGTCTTCTTGATATTTTTGAAATGATGTAGTTGTTGAAAAAATACAACTTGGTGTACATAATGACATGCTGCTGGGCTTTCGCCAGACTATGGGTACTGGTGGGTTCCAGGCCTTGTAGTCTGTTGATGGGGTTTGAGTTCTGGTTCTGTCACTTGGGGAAACTGTCACTTACCCTCCCCAGATCATATTTTTTCATTTACAAAATGTGGCCAGCCCTATTTCTTGAAACTGTCATAGAGTTAATGTCTATGAATAATCCTAGGCAAGAGCTTAGTTCATAGAGACACACAGTATCTAAGTGTCCCTGTCTCCTTTTCCCTTTTTCCCTCCAGGCTTGTGACTCCACCTTTTCCCACACATACATACGTCAGTCTGACTATTCGGTTCTTGATATAGTGCTTGTTCAAGTCCGAATGTATAAATATCTCATCCACCTGTTATTACAAGAGAGAAACCATGTGTTAATAAGATATTTTATAAGAATATTTTATAATAAGCAATAGAAAAAAAGTTTCATAGGCATGATATAATTATTTAAATCAGTGGTTCTCAACCTTCACAGAACAACAGAATTATTTGCTGAATTAAAAAAATATTACAGATACTGGGGTCCCTCTCCAAGAATTTTGATTTCAATTAGCCTAGAAGGGACCTAGGTATTCATATTTTTAAAATCTCCCCAGATTATTCTGACATGCTGTAGGTATTTGGAGTAGAAGATATCTTCCTAAAACTACATAGAAGTAGTAGCTGAAAGACACAGGGCAGAGATGGTCGTGGAGGGAGGCTTTGAGAGGTGATGGAGAGATCCTTGGCTCAGACCCGGGATTGAGCCTATCCTTCTGCACACAAACAGGGCAACCTTGGAAAAGTTACTGAGCCAATTTGAGCCTCAGTTTTCTAACCTATAAAACAAAGATATTTATATGCTACTTACAAGGTTATAAAGATAAAACACATAAAATGCTGGGTATGTTTTAGCAGTTAATTGCTGGTGGTTCTCTAGCCCCCATCCTGCCATTCAGGTCTTGGCTTTTTCTGCAGGTTGTTGGTTGTAAGGTACAAGGGAGCAGTGTTAGGGATTTAGGAGAAAGGCAAAGATTTTTAAATTGTTTTTGATTGAGGACTCTAGTGTAAATCAGGGAGGAAGAAAGAGTAAGATGGTGCTGCAGGATTAGATCACAGTTGTATCGCCAAGGAAGAATAAAAAGCTACTGGTTTTGGTTAATATGTACACTTTTAATTGCCTGCCACACCTTCATGGTGCTGTGATTTATTGCACCTAATGTTTGGCTTGCAGTATCTCCGAATAACCACTTGGTGGCATCACTGTCATCTGAATGCACGTACCACAGTTGACGATGAACAGTGGATGAGTCAAATAAACGGGGGCGGGGAATCCTAAATCCTTAAGGAAGGGGCAGGAAAACCAACTCTCATTTTGAAAAATACAAAAGATAAAAATGAGGGAAGGTTGGTTTAGGGATCAAGAGACAAGTTAGGACTTTCTTAGAACTAACAGTCATCCATAAATACTTCATCAGGAATCAAAATATTCATTTTCCTTTAACACAATAAGTCTGTGAAATAAGAATCATTTTGATCCCCATTTTACTAGAAGAGGAAACTGTGACTCAGAGGCATTATGTGAATTTCCCTGGCACCACACACAGTTACTAATAAACTGAGACTTACACCCAGGTCTTCTATCATAGGGTCCATTTATTCCCTCTCCATCACACAACCTCCCTGTTAAATGTGATATAAATTTTACTTCAATTTCTTTTGTAGAACACATAGCAATAAGTTATCAAGAAAATAGTTGATTGACCTAAAGATAATTTATAAAACTTGTAAAGGTATATATTTAATAGCTTTAAGCTTAAGATTGAAGGCAGGATTTAGAAAATAGAGAAATTGCTGGTACCCAAAATATGCTTTGATTTGTACTTAAGTAAGGAGACCCTAAATGGGCTGAGGTGATGTGGGGCTTATATGCTAGAAATGGAACTGTCTTGAAAGACATGTTTTTGCAAGAGTGACATTATTACAATCATTTCTGTACTTGCCATCCACAGACTCTACTGTTATTCAGTATTTGGGGGTTTTGGTTGTGGCGGAAGATCGAAAAGAAAAGGCAAACAAGAGGAAAAAGGGGGAAAGTGGCAAATTTTAAAAAGAAAAAAAGTAAACAGCAGTTGGGTATTTTAAGAAGTTTGGTTTATAATTATCCTTTGAATAAGTTCCACCCACAATTGATTCTTGGCCATTTGTAACTTGTTGGTGAAAGCATTGGATTGAGTTTTTGACTTTTTGGATGACATCATTCATCTGGCAATATGCCTGCTGAGAAGAATATCCAAACCCAACACCAATTCTATCTTTGAATGGTTAGGTTGTCTGGGAAGATTGGAACTAAAAGAATAATGCAAGAAGAATCTAGGTAGAAGTAACTCTGGTGATCAAAATAATAAAATAGTTTCTTCTTTCTAATTAAAATTCCAGGACATTGTCTCTAGAAAGCCTCATTTGCTAGGTCTGGGATGAGGCCCAGGAACTTCAGGTGTTAAAGGTAGTCCAAGGACAGCACTTTGAGAAATGGAATGAAGGGACTGGTAAAAAAAGTTCCGATACAAATGAACTCACAGTGGGTAGAAAACAGGAACATAAACTTTATTGCTGGATGGAGTTTATGTATACGCCAGCTTTCTAGAGACCCTGAAATTATGTTTCCCTTGTCAGATCAAGGCTTACCAGAAACATTCTCTGCCGACATTCTGGCATTCCAAGTTCCCAGAAGTTTTTGAGGACATTTCTTTTTTAAAGCTGCATGCCAGCTTTTTAAAAATTTATTATTATTTACACAACCTAATAGAGTTAGTGTGTTATACATCCTACCTCTTACTTGAAGGCATTTGTAGAGGTTTGTAGTTGGAGTTAGTCTCCTAACATTGAACAAAAGACCCCTTTTTAGGGTTGTGTCTCTTTCTGCTTGATGATTTTGAAATGCTGGAAATTGCACTGAGATTAAATTCTAAGAGGGCAATTGAAGGTTAGTTGGGTGTTTAATGAAAGAGTTAGGGAGAGGCTGTCAACTCAAACAAACAGACGCGCCCAGCCATTCAGCTCTTATTCCCGAACTACCTCTGTTTACACATGCCTTTCTCTGTCAGATGCCTCCTAACCAGCTCCCCTTAACAGCAATCTATGTATCATGTAATGGTGTTTTCAGGTTGAGATTGCAAACCTCTGATAGATATGCCACTGAAGATTGGCCAATAGAACATAAAAGCTGTTTCTTCTGAAATAACACCAGATGAGCTCCTAAGAACTAAAGAAACCAAAAACATGCCACAAAAAACTTCAGATTCTGTTGCTTTCTGTGCAAAGAGTTATATAGAGATGCTTTTTAATAGGCACCTTTAGCCTTAAATAAGGCCAGATCAAAATTACATGCTACACGGGCCGAAGTCAAGGCAGAAATAGAGAATAGAGTGCAATTGCATTTGAACCTCTGTTCACAATGGCATACATTCAAGGTCCTTACCACATGTTGCTAACCTGCTGGCCCAGTCAACACCACCAGTACCTTCCAGGCATGGGCCTTGTTTTCCTGTGTACTTGCCCTTCTCAGGCAATTTCTATGGTCTGTAGCACCCTCTCCGTTTTGCTGCTTTTCTGAATCACAATTATCCTTCAAGGTCTATCTCAGAAAATACCTATTTTGGGGTTATTTCCTGATTCTCAGACTAATCTTTCCTCCTTCTGTCTTAATTTTTCTTATCCCTCTTATACCTTCTACTCCTTAACACAGTTATTTATGTGAATATATTATCTCTTTTACTAAACTGCAAATGCTTTATATATAGAGATGGTGATTTATCTTTTCATACTCTACAATATCTAGCACAGTACTTTGCATACTGTAAATATGCAGCACATTTTTGTTGAATGAATGAATAAATAAAAGAAAATGAGAATTTATCAGAAAGTCTTGCGTTTACGAGGAAACTTTTACAAGAGTTTTTAATGTGTTTTACATCAGATCAAAAAATGAAAAAAGAAATTTGCACAAAAAAAGAAAAAAGAGAAAAAAGAAAATTGCACATAAATTATTGAAGGGACTTTTTTTTTTTGCACGTCTTGGACATTTTTAGGTAATTTGATTCCTTGTGAAAAGCTCTTTCATGGTGAGACTACAATACTTATAACACGAGGAACAGTTATCACTGTTGTCTGGAACTGTGCACCATGCACAAACTCTATTTGAGTTCATTTGCTTTTTACATTAACTCTCTGAGGTGAGTACTATTATCATCTGCATTACATAGATGAGGAAGTGACCTGCCCAAAGTGACATAGCAGTGAGCCACAGAGCTAAGATTGAAGCCAAGGCCCTCCAGCTTCAGAGCGTGTTAATGCCCCAGAGTGCTGACTTCAGGGTAAGCACACAAGCTTCTCTCTAGGAGCCCTACCCACTGACAGGCAATGAGCAATGCACAAGAGGATCAGAAACTATCCTACCCCACTCCAAAGGAAACCTGTTTGCTTTGTCCTCCAAAAATAAGAACCATAATCTTGGTAGTTTTTATTGCAACCTTTGAAGTTGTTATTTTATCTATCTAAAACTCTAGATTTAACTCTGCCACTACCACAGATACTGCTGTTGTGTGGGTAGTCTGCCACAGCCACTGCCACTGTAAGGGTGACATGCTGCCATAGCAGCAGCCATGGCCACAAGGCAGGTGGCCCCCTGACCACACAATTGCATTGACAGGAGGAGAGTCACCAGCAGAGCCTGGGGAAAGATGTGAGCAAGAGCAGACTTGTGACCCAGTCGCTCAATCCACAGGGGGAATTATGCTGCCACACAAGATAGCACACCTGGGGGTGGGAGGTATGAGTAGCACACATGATTGCCATAATCCAGGGAGAAATACATACAGAACCCCAAAGAATGCAGAAACCCAATACACCCAAATAGAGTAAGGAAAAAAATTCCCTATCACCACCAACCCTTTCCCCAACTGGGGGAAGCATGGACCCAGGAGGAATCTCCACCTATAGGAAAGAGGGAAGAGAAACCCTGCCCAGGGTCACCCATTCAAACTGAGAAGCTCCAGTGTATGCCACTACACCCATCAAGGTCAAGAGAGGCTAGCTAGGATGCCAACAAGCCATCCCAGGGTCACCCACCCCAGCCAAAGAGCAACAAAGCATGCAGGCACTTCTCTCAAGATCTTGAGAGCTCACTCACATCCTCAATGAACCAACACCGTGTTGCTAACCTCAGTAAGGAATCACTAAGTGCTCTACCCAGTGCCTAAGCCACAGAGGCACTCACATGCAACTCCAGCACTGAATATGACTGCATCTACCTGGAGCAGATACTAAAACACTCTAATCAATCGTTAGTATAACACACATATATAGG